TTGTCTCAGCGCCGGGCTGTCTACAGCTGGCGGCCTTGCCCTGGAACGCCACGGCCTGCAGGCTGGCGCCCGGCTGCCCCTTCCCCCTGCTGGGCACGTCTTCTAGGCCAGGCGCCACGAACTAGCCTGCTGCCTGGTCTCCCGCATTGGCCTGAGGTGTAGCCCCCTGCCCTAGCTCGCGCGCTGATTGCCCGTTGGGTCCCCCCCAGATTCAACAACCTTGGGGTGCTCCATGTCACCAAGAAGAACATGATGGAGATCATGAAGGACAAGCTGAAGCAGCAGAAGATGCGTAACAGAAGCCAGGCGCTGACAGGTGAGGGCGGCTCCGCAGGGGGGCCGGAGGGCAGCAGGGGGCAGACCAGGCGTTCGTGGCAAGGAGGGATGCTGGCGTGTGTTGCAGGCCCTGGTGGGGGCCTTGGCCGTGGGCTGCAGAGGACCTGGCGCCCTGGGCAGGCTGCAGGGGAGCTGCTCAGACTCAGGGTGGCCGTGCAGCCGGCAGGAGGGTGCAGACCTGTAACCAGACGTGTGCTCCCTCGGGCCGGCAGAGTCCGAGCTGCGGGAGATCGAGCTGGAGGCGAAGGAGCTGAAGAAGGTCATGGACCTGAGCATCGTGCGCCTCCGCTTCACCGCCTACCTCCGCGACAGCAACGGGAACTTCACGCTGCCCCTGAACCCCGTCATCTCCGACCCCATCCACGACAGCAGTAAGCGCCCGCCGGCTTTCATGGGCCGCCTGGCGGGAGAGAGGGTGCACGGAGACTGGGGTCGGGCCGCACGTGGGCTCTGACTGCCCGGGCTCTGCTTGGCTCAGCTCCCCTCTCCGGGCCAGGCCTGGCAGCAGGAGATGTGTGTGCGCCTAGCCAGGGGTCTGCGCGGGGCCCACTCTGTCTGGACAATGGCCCAGGCCGGGGGTGGGTGGCAGGGGAAGGGGTATCCTTGGTGGGAACCCTCATTCGGCAGCTTGCTGGGGCGTCTCCTTGGGACCCACTGATTTGAGCCAGGGGACGTTTGTGGCCAGGCTCCCTCATGGCAAGCGGGTGCAGCTTCGGTGTGCGCCTAGCCAGGGGTCTGCGCGGGGCCCACTCTGTCTGGACAATGGCCCAGGCCGGGGGTGGGTGGCAGGGGAAGGGGTATCCTTGGTGGGAACCCTCATTCGGCAGCTTGCTGGGGCGTCTCCTTGGGACCCACTGATTTGAGCCAGGGGACGTTTGTGGCCAGGCTCCCTCATGGCAAGCGGGTGCAGCTTCGGTGGG